CTAAAAAAGTGGTTACAATAAGTTAGTGACATGAAGTGAACACAATAAATATTAAAATCAATGATATTACTTAAATAGTGATTTGTTACTCATTGGTTAAATTAGTGCTAACATATGAAAGAAAAAATTACCTTGCTAAATTGTTAGATGATGTTTTATCTTATAAGTAAAAGAGCTAAGTATGTATATGAGACATAATTCGCCCACTCAATTGTTAGCCAGCTGGCTTATCTTATACGTTGTATTAGAAGAAACTCTTCCGCTCAATTTTTAGCCATATTATCTTCTTATACGTTGTATTAGAAGAAAATCTTCCGCTCATAAGTAAGGTCTACTTATGAGAGAAGAAACTCTCCCACTCAATTTTTAGCCATATTATCTTCTTATATACCTAAAAGCGCTGCATATCGGAGAGAAAACTTTCCGCTCAATTGTTAGTCAGATGATCATACTAAAAAGAAAAAATATGAGAGATAAAGTTATTTCTCTCAATTGTTAGGAATGTTATCTTCTTATTTTCATATACTTAAACACAGTACATATGAGAGAGGAAATTATCTTGTTCAATTGTGAGCCGACTTATCTTATATTGATACTTAAAAGAACTACGTTTGAGAGAAAAAATTATCCCGATCAATTGTTAGTAAACTTATTTCTAATCTTCTAATACTTAAAAACACTACATATGAGAGAGAAAATTATCCCGCTCAATTGTTAGCAAGCTTATGTGGTAATACCTAGAAGCACTACATATGAGAGACAAAATTTTCCCGCTCAATTGTTGGTAAGTTTATCTTCTTTAACCTAAAATCACTACACACGAGAGAAAAAATAACGCTCAATTGTTAGCCGGCTTATCTTCTAACTAATGTAATACCTAAAAGCACTACATATGAGAGAGAAAATTCTCCCGCTCAATTGTTAGCAAGCTAATGTGGTGGTACCTAGAAGCACTACATATGAGAGATAAAATTCTCATGCTCAATTGTTAGAAAGTTTATCTTCTTTAACCTAAAATCACTACACATCTAATACCTAAAAGCACTACATATGAGAGAGAAAATACTCCCGCTCAATTGTTAGCAAGCTAATGTGGTGTACCTAGAAGTACTACATATGAGAGATAAAATTCTCATGCTCAATTGTTAGAAAGTTTATCTTCTTTAACTTAAAATCACTACACATGAGAGAGAGAAATAGCGCTCAATTGTTAGCCGGCTTATCTTGTAACTAAAAACACTAAATATGAGAGACAAAATTCTTCCGCTCAATTGTTAGCAGGCTTGCCTTATAATTAAAATAACTACATATGAAAGAGAAAGTTTTCTCGCTCAATTGTTAGCAAACTTATTTTCTCATACCTAAAAGCACTACATGTTGAATGCATAGTACTGCAACTATTTGGCAGTCATGTCCAAAAGATAACGGTAAATAATGTCATCTTAGTCCTATTTTGGGAAGAAAAACATAACAGTCCTATTTTGGAATTTCAGACCCTGTGTGGTCCTATTTTGGGAAATCGCTCATAATAATACTTAAAAACACTACATATGAGAGAGAAAATTATGTCGCTCAATTGTCATCCGACTTCTGTAATACCTAAAAGCAATACATATGAGAGAAATTTCCCAATTCAATTGTTAGCAAGTTTATCTTCTACTCCGTAGTATAATACTTAAAAGCGCTACATGTGAAAGAGAAAATTTTTCCGCTCAATTGTCAGCAGACTTATATTACCTAAAAGCACTATATATGATAGAGAAAATTCTTCCGCTCAATCGTTTGTCTAATTATCTTATCTTATACTTAAAAGAACTACATATGAGAGAAAAATTTCTCCCGCTCAATTGTTCCCAAGCTTATCTTCTACTTCGTAGTAACAATACATAAAAGTACTACATATGAGAGAGAAAAGTTTCTCGCTCGAGTGTTAGACGACTGAGCTTATATATAAAAGCACTATGTATGAGAGAGAAAATGATTGTGCTCAATTCTTAGCCGGATTATCTTACCGTATACCAAAGAGCACTATATATGAGAGAGAAAATTCCCGTCTTTCCCACAATCGAGCACATCAACACCTTATCAGCCCTCGATAGCATTTCAAAAAAGCGGTCAATTCTTGCACGCCAAGAGGTTATGCACCATTCAGTTTCCTCTAAAAATTATTTGATGTAAGTGTTGTTCCTGATCTTCCACATCCTCATTACTTAATTACATAATTCCGTTTTTAATTTACTTTATAATGTTAGATTGTTAAGACTTTGATTTTTTTGTTCATACCGAGTACGAAGTATATCTTAACAAATGGAAGAACTTCTGCTTTATAGGTTTATTATTATGAGCCCGTTTGGTGTCCTTGTACATTTTAAATATAATTTTCCATAAACAACATAATTAGCAAACCAGTCATTTTAGCCAAAACTTCATAAATTATATTTCAGCGGAACAACCGATCTAGTCAATTTCAGTTTTACCAAACGAACGTTATGAATAGTATGAACTTTTGATTTGATCGATTCACATGTAAAATTTCTCGTCCTACTAATTGTGTGATCTTTTATTACATTATGGACATTGTTTAAAAAAATGATATGCCCGACCTCTAAAAATACTACTTTAAGGAAGGTAATGCATATAATGTATATGTGACTTTATTTAGCAAGTTTGACATTATTTTTTAAACTCTATTTCCTGAAATCATTACACATGAGATAGATAATTTTCTCTCACTCAATTGTTAATCGACTTATCTTATACCTAAAATTTTCTCCTCAATTCTATAAGAACCATATCATTTTGTCATTCATTGGTAAATCAACTTTGATTCTCTCTCACCAAAACTATGATATTATGAACATGACTAAAAATATGATTTGAAGTCAAGGAATTATATGGTACTCTTTCTATGACTATGTACATTATAGAGATCTTTTCGGGAATAATATTTGATCAATAGAGCATGCTCATAAGTCTGTCTCGTTTGTATGTACAAAATTGAAAGTTCACAATAGTAATCAAATTCAAGTATATTTGTAGCTTTGAATCACATACATGTTACTATTATAGAGATATTATTTCAACATGTTGATTTTTAATTATGAAATGTGATTTTTCAAGATTCTCATTTTTTATTGTTAAGAAATCCTTTTTTCAAATAGCCCCTTTTTATTACCCACTGATCTATTGTTTCTTTCATGTTCTAATTTTGATACTTAGAGCCGGTTTAGTAACACTGAAATTGGCCGGCTAAATTGTCTAGTCCTTTTGAAATTGATGAAATTCTCATAAAAATGCCTGAATTGGTTGAAATTGATTCTTTAGATTTATGGATGAATTTAATTTAGATTATATTTCATTAATGAAGTATATAAAAAATTATATGAAAAGCGGTTGAATTAGTTGAATCTATTGGTTTATGGATAAATTTAATTTAAAATAATTTTATTAATGAAATTAAGAAAAACATTATATGAAAAGTAGCTAAAAAGATCACATACAGTAACTTCCTTTATTGAGACAACAAAATAGATCATAAATTGAATATAGATAGTTATAAGCATAATTATAGAGATCGTTAATAAATTATATTTGTATATATTCAATATTGATCTCATATGAAAGATAACAAAAAATTATGAATTTTGATATGATTTTTGTAAAAATTGGAACAAAAATGAAAAAGATATAATACTTTAAAAAAATTGGGGTTTTTTATAGGTTGGGCCCCACCAACTGAAAATCCTACGGCTGCTCCCCTTCCATTTCAATTGGAATTGGAAGAAGTTCGGTATTTATGAGTGAAAAAGCCACGTGTCATTTTTATAGAAAATGAGAGAATTGTGGAGAGTTTGACACATAGGATTAATGAAGGGTAAAATAGTATTTTTATAAACTATTTCTTTTCTTATATATAAATAGAAATCGAACACTTATGTGTCGGGCTGCACATCGGGCGGGTTGGGTAGGGTTTGCTATATTTTTTGGGCCTACCCGATTTGTTCGGGTTGGCTAATAACCAACCCGCGCTACGCAAAATAAGTTGGTAAACCATGCATGAACGGGTCGGGTAGGGTCGGGTATTGGGGGAAAAAATCACTTCGGGTTGCATCTTTCATGTGGAAAATTAATGTAACCAATTTAAAACTTGATTAACTTGTTTCCAAAACACACAAACAAATACAAATACTCGTATCTTTTATAAGCAAAAACATTATTAGGTAATAGTATTGAAACATCCTTCCGCAAAGGGAGTTCATTTTAGAAGTAAACGTAAATATATAATAATCACCTAGTCAAAATGATAAATGTTTAATAATAATTCTAATATCATAAAGTTCTAGATAGAGCGCATTGGTCTTAAATTGAAATTATCCAAGAAAACGTTGTAGCATAATGATAGTAAAATGAACTTTGGCCGGGTCGGGTACTATCGGGTTTGGGATTTTAATTCCGCAACCCTACCCATTAGGTGCGGGTTCTAACATATTTAACCGTTGAAATTTTTTAAAAATCAAATACCCGATTAAATAGGGTAGGGTAGGATTGGGTCGGGTGGGTTATGCGGGTTCGGGTTATTCTTGTGCAGCCCTACTTATGTGATCTATTTGAACAGTTTTCTTAACAAAGTTTATACTACGTAGTTATTTCGGGGATGTTTGAATCTGATTCTTAAAACTGTTTCTGCTCCCTGAGCGAGCAGAAACAGAAGCTAGAGTGTTTGGGTAAACGTGCAGAAGTGATTCTGGTAGAAGTGATTCTGGTGCTCTTTTTTACTCCTAGAATCAATATTTTTAGTAGCTGAGAGTGACCAACTTCTGAAAACTGATTCTGATTCTGCTTTTGGTTTAAAAAAGAAGTAGGAAAAGAATGACTTCCAAACACCCCTTCACATGTATATGAACGAATTTTTTTAACTACATTCATATAGATATGTAATTATTAATTTCATTTTGAAAAATTTATTAATTGTGTACTGACATTTAAGTATTCCAATAAAGGTTTCAAGCGCGCATTCACTCGGGATTATGAATGCATCAAGCAGTGACCTGTCGCCGAGCCAGGCCCAGTTCAGAAACGAATGGGACGTCACCGGAATCCTCTCGCCGATGCTTAACTTCCTCAACCAAACGAAAGGTCCTTTTCTGGTAAACCCATACCCGTATTTCGGGTACAACCGGCAAAGTGCGGATCTCGCGCTCTTCCGGCCGAACAAAGGCGTCTTCGACCGGCACACGAACAAGACCTACTACAACATGTTCGACATGCTTCTGGACTCTGTATTCGCGGCGATGTGTCGGCTGGGGTACCCGGACGTCGAGATTGTCGCGGCGGAGACAGGGTGGCCGTCGGCCGGAGAAGAGTTCGAGCCGCAATGTACGGTGGCGAATGCGCGGTCGTATAACGCCGGGCTGATGAGGAGGAACAGGAACGGAATCGGAACGCCGTTGATGCCGCGGTCGAGGACCGAGACTTATATATTCGCTCTGTTTAATGAGAATCTGAAAACAGGGTCAAAGGCGGAGCGGAACTTCGGGCTTTTCCGGCCGGATTTCAGCCCGGTTTATAGTATCGGGATCATGAAGGGAGAAACGGATCCATCTTTGACCCCGGCGCATCCGCAGGTACTTTTCTACTCATTGAAGATTTACAATAATGAGACAAATTTAACAATATTTTTTTGGAAAAATTCACAAGAATAATCCCACCTTTCGCCGGTCTTCTCATAATAATCCCACCTTTAAATAATCCCAAAATAATCCCACCTTTGCACTTCATCTTCTTCCATTGGACCCTAACCAAGTTTTTTTACCTTTTTTGAGAATCTTATATAAATAATCTTACATTTATAAAGATATAATAAAAAAGTGAAAGGTGAAATCATTTATATGATTTTCAAAAAAAGAGTAAAAAACATGGTCAGGGTCCAATGAAAGAAGATGAGGTGCAAAGGTGGGATTATTTTGGGATTATTTAAAGGTGGGATTATTACGAGAAGACCGGTGAAAGGTGGGATTATTCTTGTGAATTTTTCCTATTTTTTTCATAAAAATATATTCATACATTAATAAATAAAACGTAATCAAAGTAAAACATGTGAATAATGTAAAATTACATATGTTGCATTTATTTAAGAACGGATGTAGTATTTATTAAATTATATTCACTTACAAAATTTTAAACGATTTATTTATAATAATATAAAGTAACAAGGTGTGACACATTGCGTTTTCCCTCCAATTAGACATTTAATGTTTCATACCCATTAAAAAATAAGAGTTACATGAATATCGGATTAATTGGAATATTTTCAATTCAAAATAATCTATAATGATGATGATGATAGATAATAATAATTATTTTTATTATAATATAATAATAGTGATACATAATTGGCAGACTTCACTTAACACAAAGAAATAAATCAGAACGTTTACAATATCTGTAATAATCTATAATAATATAAAGTAACAAGGTGCATGTGACACCTTGCTTTTCCCTCTAATTAGACATTTAATGCTTCATACCCATTAAAAAATAAGAGTAACATGAATATTGAAGTAATTGGAATATTTTCAATTCAAAATAATCTATAATGATGATGATGATAGATAATAATTATTATTTTTATTATAATATAATAATAGTGATACATAATTGGCAGGACTTCACTTAACGCAAAGAAAAAAATTAGAACGTTTACAATATTTTGATTTAAATGTTTCAATTATAAGCTAGACCACACCAGATTAAAAGAAACTACACCAAATCAGATCAAATTTAAATACAATAGACTTGATCGGATCAGAATAAGTTAGTAAATTATACATACATCCGACACTTCCCAGATCAGATCAGTTTAGGTCATCAAACCAAACTTAAGCTGACCTGATCATAAAACTTTAGTCTAATTAAAAACATCATTATTATTGTCTTGCAGTAGAGTAATAGTTATATTATTAATAACTATAGTCTTCTATAATAATATAAAATAACAAGGTCTAGCTTGTGTTTCCATATTTAATGATTTCATACTCATTTTCTCTAAACAATAATGTGTAAATTAATAATTAGCAATTAGTAATTATAATGTGAAAATTTTGATTTTTAAAGTTATACTATCATTTTTAGCGTTCCTCAATTGCATGAATCCTTTGTTATTACTCCCCCTGTGCCGCTAAGATTGTCTCATTTTTCCTTTTCAGTGAGTCCCACTAAAATTGTCTCATACCAAATTTGGTAAAGTTTGTGCGGTTCTAAATCATTCTTACTTTATCAATTCAATATCAATCACATAAACTCACTTTTCCTAATAACCGTGTCACCTCCTCATGTCCCAATGTTAGTGGAACGGAGGTAGTATATTTTATAAACACAAATATGTAACAAAATATTTATATATCTAATGAAAAGTATTTTTATTATTACGAAGTGGTCCCAACTTTATCCAACTTTGTGCTCTGAAAAATTCATTCCAAAATGTTAACATATGTAAATCCTGTTATGTAATATGTGGATGTCCATTATTATATCTGGCCCATTAGTAATGTTAGAGTCCAGCCCGTCTCACATGTAACCCTATCCCCGATTCCCCTTGTATATATACATGTACATGTTAATGAAAAGTATGTGATTATTCAGGTTCATCACACGTTATCAGCACGATACCTTCCGCTACTTGTAACCCTACTTTTCTTTTCCAATTTTCCGCCGTCTGCCTCAACCGGCTGCAACCCTTTATGGGGTTCATCACACGTTATCAACATGAGTTAGTTAAACACTATTCATTAAATTTCCATTGTCATCTAATGACATGGTTACATATAACATATGCATCTCGTGCAACGCACGAGTAAAGAATCTAGTAAAGGTAGATTCTTTGTAGGGGTGAGAAAAAATACCGAACCGGATCGATTTGGTACCAGACCAAAAAACAGGGTTTGAAATGGATCTCAATTTTTTTGACCCAAACCGGACCATAGCGGTTCCAAACAATGTCATGACCGGTTCTCATAAATTGAAAACCGGTACCGAATCGAACCAGATCAAAGTTTGATTTAATTATTTAAATGTACATGTATACCATTACTTTAATTAGCGCCTTCGCACTTTCACAACATTTACTAGTTCACTACAAGCTCGGGATCGGACAGAAGTATGGTTTAATTATGGAAAAAATAATTTACATATCCCAAACTTTGAAGATGTGTGATTAGGTAAATACCTCAAACTTGCACACATAATATATACTCAATCCTTATATAAAAAGTTATATTAACACCATGATCATATGTTTTTCTTCACAAAAGTAATTTTATGGTTTTAAGTACATAATTAGAAATACAAAAAAACACTTATGAAGATGCAATTAAAGTTTGTTAGTACCGAATTAATATTATTTATTTCAAAACTTAAATTTTAGAATGTGTTACTATATCCAAATAAAGCTTAGATTTTTTTAATTATGTACTTATTGCTCTAAATTTATATTATTAAAAAAGCATATAATCATGGTGCGAAAATAACTTTTTAGATAAAGTTCGTGGTACATATATTACATATACAAGTTTGGGTATTTATCTCACACCCTTTCAAAGTTTGGCGTGTTTATATTATTTTCCTCTTTAATTATTAAAATTTGTACTACTATAGTTCATCGAAAGGGTAAAATGGGAAAGTCAAAAACAAAATTCAACTTTCTTAAAAATCATGAAATCAAACTATGAACTTTATTTTCTCTAAAAATTAAACTTTATTTATACAACTATACAACTCTAAAAAACTTATCAGATTTATCATTTATCAGTTTTTTCTTCTCAAATTCTTATCGGACTATTATTTAGTTTTTCATATACTTCTTCTCCCTCAAAAAAGATTTGCCTAATTTTCTAATTATGTGACTGAATATTATTTCTCTCTCCTTTATACATACTGCGTATTCGGTATTTCAATAACATAATTTTTAATTTATTATTTTATTTGCAAATCAAATTTGACCTACGACCTTTGATAGTGTGTTTTTATGTTTTTTGTCTATCTTTAGTTAAATATTTTAAACTTTTTGTGTCGATGATGCTAAACTTTGACTGATGGACAGTGTACCAGGGGGTAGCTTATCTGGGGGTTAATATGAGGATAACCTAGAGAGAAGTCAGAGCAAACAAGTGGGAGAGAGAGGTGATTGTATTAATGATCTCAAAATGTTCTGGTCCTTTACAATGGGAAAAGGGGGTGCTATTTATAGTTGTAATAGGTGCGATGAGAGTACACGTGGCGATAATCTAACGGCCGAGGGGTCACCTCAATCGGGGTGGCACCGACAATTGCACGTTCACCGCATTAAATGCGGTGGGCGGATGTGACATCGTATTAAATGCGGTGGTTGGCTGTCTCCAAAGGGAATCTTCGATGATTGAGTCTGTTTCGCCGAAGGCTCTTCATGCAGCCGAGGGCCTCGTGTGGCCGAAGGCTTTGTGTAGCCGAAGGCTTGGTTCAACCGAAGGCTCTTCTGATGCCGAGGGCTCAGCAGTGCCGAAGGCTCCCGTTTTCTGCCATTTTCTCCCAATAGTTTCGTATGCTCAAATATGGTTGTTCTGTGAGTTTTGGAGCATTCGGCCAAGGAGGCCGAAGGCGCCCATGCGTGCACCTTGGGTTTCTTTATGCTTGGGCCGCTGTGTTCGGGCCTTGTGTGCTCATTGGGCTCATTGGGCCTGTGTATGAGTAGTAGGAGTCTGTGGCCCGGGGGTCCCTGGGTCATATATTCCATCATTGACCTTAGTATATTAATTTAGAAAAGTATTTATACGAAGAAAATAATATTACTCCCCCGTCCCTAAACAAACTTCCAACTTTTCTTTTTCGTCCGTCTGAATTAAAACTTCTACTTTCCCTTTTTGGTAAAGGATTTGTGGTTCACAACATTTCTTACAAATTTCTCTCTCTTCTGCACAATTCTTCACCATACAATACCCACTATCTTAAACTGTGTGCCCAACCTATTTGGAAGTTTTATTCAGGACGGAGGTAGTAGAGTATTCCTGGTTAAAAATACTATACTCATGTTTGTTTTTGTTTGCATGTGCGCAGCCATGGAGACGTAGCAAATTCTGTGTGCCCAAACGCAGTGCAAATATTGAGCAGCTAATAGAGAACATAAACTACGCGTGCGCTCACGTGGACTGCAGACCCATCCAACCCGGCGGCGCGTGCTTCCGCCCGACCACCGCCCGGGCTCATGCCGCTTACGCCATGAACACCTTCTACCAGACTAAAGGCCGTAAACCTTTCCAATGCAACTTCACCAACACCGCCAGATTCACTCATACGAATCCAAGTAATTCATTCAATTCCTCTTTATTTATTATTCCCACTCGATCTGGTAAAGTATTTCAACAAAATTTTGTACTTCTATGTACTGGTACAACTCTTTTCTTCGTAGAATAGTTAAAATTTCAAAATGGGATTGTCATGTTTTATTTCTAAAACAGGAGTAATTATTATCAAGTTTGGAAAATAATGTCATGTTTAAAATCTGATTTTGTCAAAACATGATAGCAATCAGTCCTATTTTAAAAATAAAAACATGATAATCTTATTTTGAAATTTACAACATTTTAGTTCTATTTAGGATAATTTTTCTTTATTTTATTCTTGTATATCAATTGTCTTCTTCTATTCATATTGGTTGTTTGAAGCCTAATACAATTTGCTAGCGGGGTTATTGAGTTTTCCCATAACACAAATGATTCATCTGTCCCTTATCATTACATCATTAAATTTAAAAGTCAACCAAAAGGATATTGTATGGTTAATTAGATTAATTTCAAACGTGATAAGGTACATGGCCGTCTAATAAATTTGAAGGTCTCAGTTCCAAATAGAGAATTGAGGCCCCAAAACAAGAAGAAATACAACATTTAAAAACGACTAGATTGTGCAAGAAAATATAAGTTTTATGATGATTAAAGTATACAAATTAGACAATCTAAAAATTTTATATCTTTTAAAATCTTAAATAATACGGAGTACATAACATCTAGAAAAATCAACGTCGTATTACATACTAAAATTTTGGAAGCCCACTCTATAAGAATGGGTCCCGATGTCAAACACTCATTGCACCTCCTAAAAGACGGTCCTGAAAAGATATTAATAGGCTTACATGAAATGTGATAAGAGTTGGACGATACATATTTGAATTATGCATGTTAAGTGTTAACCTTTTCTTATATATATTGGTAAAAAATTACTTCAAATACATATATACTAGAGGTATTTACCAAAACGAGAGTAATTACATCTTTAATTGTCAAAATAGGATCAAAGTTTAAAAATTCCCTAAAGAGGAGTAATTATTTGTAAATGGACAAAAACACCATGAAGCTTGGTAATCAAACTACGGCCGACCAGAACACCAGATCACCATCGGTCGCCGGTCGCCGCCAGTCGCCGGACGTCGTCGCCACCTTGAAATCACCCGTCGTTGTAAATTTGACTGCCACCACTATAGATATGGCTGTCGCCGCAGCAGATTCGGCGGCCGCTGCCGGAGATCTGGTCAAATCAAGCTTCGCCGGTCGCCGACCGTTGTCTTTGTAGATCCGGGCACCGTTAAATCTAATCCGGCAACAACAACTGCAAATATGGCCTCTGTCATTGTAGATTTGGTTGTTGCAGGCGAGAATGCCAACATTTTTATCAAAATGTCAAAATGAATCGAAGCCATCTTAATGGCATTTTTCAAAGAAAAATACAATTTTTTTGTAGAATAAGAAGTCCACTTTGATGGCATTTCATAGTTGAACTTGGCATTTTTTTACCAATCAAAGAAGAAATAGAGCATCTGCAACCATTAAGGGGAGGAAGGACAGGGATAAGAACCAAAAAAGAAAACTTGACCTTCGAAGAAGAGAAGAAGACCTCCGGCGGTGAAGGCGGCAAACTTCGAATCAGTGGCAGTGACGGCGGCAGACTTCGAATCAGCGGCGTCGATGGCTATGGACTTCTTGGTTTGGTTGTTGCTGTGCAAAGGGGAAGGAGGAGAAGATGTATGTGCAGGGGAGAAAAAGATTGTAGTGAAGGGAAGAAGAAGATGCGTTGGGAAGATGATGCGTTAGGGAGAGAAGAAGACGTGCAGGGGTGAGAAGGAGATGCGCGTTGATGGAGTATATGGCCCAGGAACCCCCGGCCCATAGACTCCTACTTCTCCTACACAAGTTCATTTGGCCCAGGGAACAACTCAGGCCCAAAATGCAGCGGCCCAAGCCTCAACGTAGCCCAGAATACGCACTGGGGTGCCTTCGGCCTCCTTGGCCGAAGGCTCCAAACCTCACAGGGTAGCCTTCTCTGGCATAAGAGGCTACTGGGAGAAAACGGCGAAAAACATGAGCCTTCGGCATTATCGAGCCCTCGGCATCAGAGAAGCCCCCGGCTAAACCATGCCTCCGGTCACACAGGGCCTTCGGCTACACAGGGATCCTTGGCTACATGGAGCCCTCGGCAACACAAGGAGCCCTCGGCCAAGCACACTCAATCATCGAAGATTCCTTTTAGGGACAGCCAACCACCGCATTTAATGCCACGTCACGTCCGCCAACCGCATTCAATGCGGTGGACGTACCACTGCCGGTGCCAACCGGCTGATGTGACCCTTCGGCCGTTGGATTACTGACACGTGTACTTCCATCGCATTTATTGCTGCTATAAATAGCAGCCCATTTCTCCTTGTAATCGACATGATCTACACCTCAACTCCACACGCTGAGTTCATTTAATAAAATCGGCTCTCTCTCCTCCTATTTGCTCTGACTTCTCTCTAAGTTATTCCCGCAATAACCCCTCGGATAAGATACCCCCCGGGTAGACTATCCATCATTTGGTGCTCTCGTTGAGAGGTCTGAACTATCAAGTAAGAAACCCTCCCCCTCTACCAAATACAGAACACCTACCAAAAATGGGAAGAACCACTCGTGCCCAATCCAAAACCCTAGAGGAAAACCACGTAGCCCCCGGCGAAACCAACGGGGCTGAGGCCTCCAACAGGCTCTTAGTGCCCGAAGGTGGTATCATCCTCGAATTGGAGCAGGCTACTGCTGACCTCCGTCAGCAACTACAGAAGAACGCCCCTGATGCCCGCATTGGCCTTGATAATCGAAGGAGGGATCGGAGTGAGAACCAAGTTCCCCCTCCGGCCCCGGCCATCGATCTTCAGGCTGCCTTTGCGGCCTTTGTCCAAAACATGGCTCTCAATTCCGGAGCCCTCGTCTCTCAGGCTCCCCTTCAGCCCTACGCTGGGGGAAATATTATTCAATTGCCACCACTCTGATAAGTCCGTATTTAGACACGCATTTGATGTGTGTTGAGATCGGTTTTTGATGATTTTCCTATCTTTAAGGTGTTACAAGTCTCAATTTTAGCTCAAGTTATGTTTACCGGGCGTTGGTTCGAGTTTTGTGTTGTTTGTAGTCAAAATCAGGAAATTTGAGCCCGGTACCGGCACTTGAGGAACAATCGGGATGATTTGAGAAGCATTTGATAATGATTTGAGAGCTATGGAGGTCACCGGTAGGTTTACGATGAAGATTTAATGACAAAAGAGCTCTAGGATTGGCTATGGGATCAAAAGAAGATGAATGAAGCTGGAAAACGACGATCAGGATGACCTTTGGTCAATCGTTCAAGCATATCTCTTTGTATAAGCATCCAATGTACACGATTCAAGTTCCATATGAAAGCCAACTTCAAGGGCTACAAATCATATGAAGACATCATTCCGAGAATCTGAGAGGATCAAGGTGAAAACAGACGATGAAGTCAGATGATCTCTGTTGCGATTTCAGAATGACACCTTCCACCATTTTGGTCATATCTCTTGATTGGATGATTCAAATCACATTCGGCAAGTTGGGGTGGATAGAGGACTTCATTGTCTACAACTTTCATGAAGGAAGTTTTGTCAAATTCGGACTAGAAAAAAGGCTGAAGAGCACGGACGCACGACCGTGCGTAAAAGGACGCACGATCGTGCGTAAGAGCCAAAAACGCGGCAACAATTCTGCCTGCTACGCACGATCGTGCGTGGCAAGGTACGCACGATCGTGCGTACACCCGAGACGCGGATTTCAGCCCTTTTTTAGTCCCAGTTCAGCCCAAACTCATCTGTTTTCTATAAATAAGACCCCCATACCCATATTTTGACGTTACGAACATTACGGAGAGGCCTAGGGACGAATTTAACACCGTTTTTACGCTATTTTCTTCCAAGACCCTGGGATTATTTGTAAGTTCATCTTTTTAATTAATGACAATTTATTCTATTCATCTCAATTCTGTTGATTCTTCAATTATGAATTGTGAGTAGTTTAATTAGGGATTTGGGGTTGATGAAGGGGTTAATCATGATGTATGGCTAGATTCTTGACGGTTTAATTGCATGAATGCCGTTTAATTTGTGTTTGAATAATTTAATTGATATCTCTTGTAACCTAGACTGCAGCTAGAATTACAATTGCATGTAGAATGAATTAAGAGAGATCTAATTTGTTCTAGGACACATTCACACACACTTAATCGTTCGCTAAGAGATTAGTAGCGATTAAGGGGCCGTAAGCTCGCTCGTCTTGGCAATAATTTAGGATCCTGTCGCATGAGAGATCAGCCTGGTCTCCTAAATTATTGTACTCTACGCCGCGAGAGCGGTAAGAACTTAGTAATGATTAGCTAGGCTCAATTAAATTAAATTCATGTAATTAGGCCTGATCTGCCAGAAATCTGGTTACCCCGGAATCAATTCCTATTCCCTTCGTCGTTAATTGAGAAGAAACCACTTTTATTTTAATCGTTCAATTCGCATTAGTTTAATTTTAATTCACCAATCAAATCTCGCACACTTGCATTTATTTATTTTATTTCTTTTTAATCGCTGAATTTAGTTAATCTTTAATTCCCTTTTGTCCGTCCCTGTGGAGACGATACTCGTACTTTCAACCACTATTCTACAATCTTTTTAAGTGCGAGAAAACACACATCACACTCCCTCCTCTGTTCAACAATCCTACCCCGGGGATTGGCAACGCCGAGGGGGTCCTAGCACAGGATACCGCCTCCCAGGAGGCCCAGTCCAGGGACAAGCGCCCCATGATGAAGGAGAAACCCCGAACCTCTGCACTTGAGAGGCTTGGGGGAGTTCCCGGCCGCCGAGGGGTCCAAGACCGCCTCGGCAAGCAAGAATATAGTAGGCCACAGGAGAGTGGTGCCTCCGCTTCGGGAGCCGAGGGCGTGCCTCCCCCCCGAAGCAAAGGCAAGGCCCTCCTCCATGCCGACGACGCCAGGCACCAAATCACACAGGCGCAATCCTTCCGGGTCAATTCCCAAGGGGTTGCC